AAGAGGCAGGCATGGTAGCACATGCCTATAATCCTAGCAGTTGAGAGGCTGAAGCAGGAAGATTTCTGCAAATCCGAGGCCTGCCTGAGCTAAAGAGTTCAAAACCAGCCTGAATTAAGCAGCAAGATCCTGTCTCAAAAAAACAGCTTGAAAATGAACTAGGGTGCGGGGGCAGAAGTCTCACTATGTTGCCCATGCTGATCTTGAACTTGTGGACTGAGGCAATCCTCTAGCTTCAGCCACATAAGTGCTGAGATTATAGGCATATAACAAGGTACTCAAGGAAAATTAACTCTTAAGTCACATATAAACAGATTCCATCTGAACTAATCAACATGGTTCCCAATAGGGTCCACAGGAGGTGGGATAAAGTACACAGTAAGTGAAACATGAAATTCAGAGCTAATTTAAGCACCAATGTACAACATAACCCCTTTAAAGCCTTGCCCAACGGGCTACTTGGAACTTCAAATTAACCAGCTCGAAGGAAGACCTCCAATATCTCCTGCAACGTAACCCATAAGCTCAGACCGTGCAATTATTTAAAAGCTGCCAGGCAGAATACTGAATATACAGAATAAGACACAAGAAATGAGAAATAGCTGAGAATTTAAATGGCCTCATTTTGTCAGAAAGCAGTTTTTATAAACCCGCCTAAATGCAAATGAAGATAAGATCTAAGTGTAAGGTTAACTTAAAGCTGACTTAGTTACCTAACAAGAACAGAATGCTCTAAGTCAAAACATTGTAAGTTATCAAGCTGGGGGTTGGGGGGCAGAGATCAGGGAATAAGAATTAAATAGGTCATAAATTTACTCAATTCCACTATCTCCCCTCAAGTTCTGTATCAAAAATTCATGCATGAACAGCCAGCCAAGTATGGTGGTACCAGCACTTTTCAACCTGAGGCAGGAGGATTGCAAGTTCAAGCCCAGGCAGGGAAACTTAATGACACAGTGAGACCTTGTCTCAAAATTAAAAAAAAAAAAAAAAAAAGGTGAGGATGTAGTGTAAAGGTTCTGAGTTCAACCTTCAGTGCTTAAGGGAAGGAAAAAAAAGTATGAACTGAAATCATGCTTAAGATAAAACACTGCATTCCAAAACCATAGCCAATATTTACGTGGCTGCCTGCAATTCACTATAAAATCTCCAAATCAAAAAATAAAATAAAATAAAATCTCCAAATCTTAAAATCTGAGCTGAGTCAAATTCTCCAAGTTGTGGAATCAGCCTAGGTGCAATCAACAAATGAATGGATAAAGTGTGGCATATATGTGCAATGGATTAGTCAGAACAAAATTGTTTTTGCAGAAAAATGAATGAAACTAGAGATCATAATGTTAAGTGAAATAAACCAGACTCATTAAGACAAGTATCAGCCCAGAGTGGTGGCTTGTGCCTGTAATCCTAGGCAAGCTGAGGCAGAAGGATCTGCGAGTTCTAGGCCAGCCTGAGTTACAAAGCAAGACCCTGTCTCAAAAATAAATAAATGGATCCTAATGACAACTCCTCTCCCCTCAAACATCCACAGGTCTCACTGTGAGAAACACTGCTACTCAGCATTCCTATCAACCAGGAGATTCCAGTTCCACCTTTTATGACTAACAAAATTAGCACTCATAAGTGTTTGGGAGGAAAGCTACTGTCTCCTCTAAGGCTTCTGAAATATCTCTTCCACTAACTTCAACAAGATTCTCTGAACATGGCATGAATGCTAGGTCACTGATAATGGTTATTCTCTTCATGTCTTTTTAAGTGTGACAGCCAGAACTGAGTTGAAACAAATGATCTGAACAGCAGAGCAGGGCAGGAATACAATGTAGTTTCCATAAAGGCATTATACCCTGTCTTAATGCAGTGGTTCTCAACCAAAAGATTTTGTGCCATGGGGTACATCTGCCAAAATCTCAAGATGATAGGTGAGGCTCCCAGCATCTAGTAAGAACAGGGACAGAGCTAGTGTTAGGCCAGGGATACTATTAAAACACTCCACAATATATGGAACAGCCCCCTGAAAGCAATTATCTGGCCTAAATGTCAATAGTACTTAAGCGAAGTACTCTATTAATAGATCCTAAGACTATTAAAACTTCCTTGGACGTTTCATCACCATGGCTTTTAAAACATATCAGTATTTCCTAAATTACATACATAATTGTATATGAAATTTAGACAAAATATATAGACATTTGTTCACAACGTCTTGCAATGACTTAATACAACTCTCATACAGGATCCATTACCCAACCTCACTCACCCAAATTTAACATACCAAAACTCAAACTGGAAGTCAAATACAAAATAGCTAGGCAATGGGCTGGGGCTGTAATTCCGTGGTAAACACCTGCCTATCATGTGCAAGGCTCTGGACTTAATCTATAGCATGTAAATATTAAATAAAAGAAATAGGAAATCACAATTCAACAAGTGCATGAAAGAAACAAACTTAACGACAATATGACCCCAGAACATGAAAAAGAAAGCGAGTTCAGCTGTACTGTAGTGGTCAAGCTTGTGCTTAACATTCTGGAGTCCCTGAGTCCAACCTCCAGTATCCCAGGAAAAAAAAAGTTAAAGAGAGGCAGATTAATGAGGAAGACGACTTATGTTCTTCAACAGTCTTTGATCTATTATCTATTCTAAAACAACCATAGTATATTTATGATTAGAAATAGGAGAAAATGAAAAACTGGCCATATACTTCAAATCTCAAGAAAAACATTGGAAAGGCAGTATCTCTGTCTGAATCTATCTTAACTCTTCTGTTCTACACATTCGAACTAACTCGCAAAAAATTTGAAGCATTTTCTTTATTGAAAGTTTATCTTTTATCTGTGAGCAAGGACCATGCCAATCTTCTCTGAATGAGTCCAACTTTAGTACATGTTTTCGAAAATTAAATGGAAATTTACACCTTCCTCCCTTCAAAAATGGGAAAAAGTTTAACATTTTAATTTGTCCTTTTAGCAAAAAGGACAAAATTTTTATATTTTTTCACTAAAGCCTTTTCTTCTTTTTCCTTTGTGTTTTTTTTTCTTCCTATTTTTTTGAGACAGGGTCTCACTATTTACTTCGGGGTGGCCTTGAACTCCCCCCAGTCCTCCTGCCTCAGCCTCTCAGGTGTTGGGATTACAGGAATTCGGCATCACATCTTCCGGGCTCTTTGGTGTTTTGAGACAGGGTCCTCACCATATAGTTCATGCTGGTAAGAACTTACAGTGATCCTCTGGCCTCACTCAACCTTCCAAGTGCTGGGATTACAAGCGTGGGATACCTCACCTGGCTAACCTTTTCTTTACGATGTGCATTTCTTGTCGTTTTTAATACTGATATGATTATAAAAGAAATCCCTTTACAAAAATGGGGCTAAAAAGTCAGTTCAGACAGTCATCACGTGACACTACTGAACCAGGGTCTCAACAGCCCTAGGCAAATGCTCTACCACTGAGCTATATTCCCAGCCCTGAATGCATAGGTTCATTTGAATTCCTACTGAACTGAAAAAACACCACAAAAATCTTTGGATTCATCCTCCCAGTACCCCTACCATTCCATGAATAAATGAATCAACCCTGCAGATTTTAAACCTCCCTCTGTATGATAATTAAGCCTGAGCAATGTTTCCATTACAGAAATAATACACTGACAGGCCTCTAAACAAAATGTCAGGGGCGAGTGAGTGAACCTGGGGCATGAGAAAGGATTAAGTCGTAAAATTCTTTTTTTTTTTTTTTTGGTACCGGGGATCGAACTCGGGACCTTGCGCTTTCGAGGCAGGTGCCGGAACCACTGAGCTAAATTCCCGGCCCGTGAAATTCATTTTTAATTATATAAAACTTGGAATACGTCATTAAGGCTCATGTTAAAGTCTCACCTGTAAAGAGACATACATACATACATACAAATGTACAAATGTCAAATTATTATCAGTCATAAGGCAAGAAAGAAACTTTTTTAAAAGTTAGGCTTTTTAAAAGGTCACTAGATTAGTTGTGTAGAAATCATGACGCTATCCTGGGTTTAATCAAAACTGTCAATTACATGCTTCCTTTTAGGACTATAAAGATGGAAAAATTCAGTCCTCTTAAGGGGCGCACAGTCTGCAAGAAATGCAGTCTCACAGTTTAGGCCTCTACACTGCAGAATTTAAACAGACTAAAACCTGTAACCTACTTTTTGATCCCACTCATGAATTCTCAAACTAACATCTCATTCTTACAGACAGGAAGGAGAGGGAAACTCTTAAAAGTCCTCTTAAGGTAACACACTGTATGATATCGGCCCACTGGGCTCAGCAGGGATAAGTCCACAATCAGAGAAAAAACACTAGAGACGGAGGGAGGTCGGAGAATGAAACCCAGCCACCCCAAGAAAACCACACAGGGTGGGCAACGCCTAACATTCATTCCCTCTTTCCGAGGAGGGCACGAAGGGAAGGCTGCGGAAGACTGGGGACGAGGTGGAACGAGGGGGACCCAAAGAACCGGGCTCAACGCTCAAAACTGGGCTCTTCACGCCTGCTCAAGCCTATTCGGCAAGGGAAGCGGAAGTGGGGCGACTCCCGCGCACGACAGGAGCATCTTGAAAGCCGGCAGGCAGGACAGAGACGAGCGGAGGAGACGGAGCTCGGAACCCGGGCCCGGAGGCGGCCGGGCGAGCCCAGCGCGGAGCCCACGAGGAGCTGGGCCTGCTGCCCCGCCGCCCCGCACCGTTCTGTCTCAGCGCACTTTTGCTTTTGTTTTTGCTTTCCCACTAGGCGCAGGCGGGAGTGGCCGGGCCGGAGGATGCCGCGCTCTTCCGGAAGGAGAAGCCCCCGGCCCGACGGCAGCCGACCCGGCCAGGAAAGGGTGAAGGACCCGAGCACCAAGCCGGGGCGAACGGGGAGGGCCTCTGTCCCGCCTGCCGCCCCTCAGGGCGAGCGCCCGGCTCGCGCGCCCCCTCCCCCCTCGACGCCCCCCAAGGCCAGGCTGGCGTGAGAATACAGACCCCGAATCACTTACAACGGCATCGTCTCCTGCGCCAGCACCGCCTAATCACTTCCCCCCGCAAGCGCTGCCGCTGCCGCCGCTGCCGCCCTGGGCATGATCCACTGAGGCAGGAGGGAGGGGGAGCCTGCCTCAGCCGTGGGTCCAACCCCACTCCCGCGCCCGCTCCCGCCGCTTTAAGCGCTTCTCCTCCTTCCCCTTCGTCCTAACATGGCGCCCGTGCGCTACCACAGCAACGTTCTAGAACTGCTGACGTCACCACGCACGGTGTGCGTGCGCCTGCGCACCACCTCACTCGGCGCCGCAAGGCTTCGCGGGAAACGAAGTTCAGGCGGTGGCGGCGGGCCCGCGATATCAATCCGGATCTTCTCAAACTCCCAGTCTGGGTGTCGCGTGATGGGTGGGAGCGGTCCGGGAGGCTTCAAGGTGGCAAGTTGGTTGTCCCTTCCAGCGGGCACGCTCTCCTGACCGGTGGGGAGGTGCAGCCCAGAGAGGTCCCAGCCCCCGCGGGGCACTGCTTCCGGCGCTTTTGAGGACCCGCCTTCCCCGTCGCCGGCGGCGGCGCTAGCAGGGCCGGTGCGCCCACGCGTGCACCACGTGCTGTCCCGCCGGCCGCGCTGGTCGCTGCCTGGGGTCTGCAGTCCCTCAGCCGGCACCTGCTTTCCTGGAAGTGGGAGTGACACGAACTTCAAAGGCAGTGGAGACCTCTGCGTGCCTGCCAGAGGCGCCTAGCATAGAGCCCGGCCCCCGCGCCGCCTCGCCGTTGCCGGGACTCCCTCTTCCCGCCGCCAGGCCGGTCGCTCCTGATGCCTCTACGCCGACTCTCAACGAGTATTTCTTGGGTGCACATTTGCGGCATGGGACTGAGACGACAGCGAATTCTGGAACCTGAGCTAATTTTACTTTTAACGAACAGTGCATTGGGACTACTTGAAAAAGCCATCAGCAACCAGTGGAGTTTATGGCAAAGGCTGTTTCCGGCCATAATTTACCCCCGAGGCTGTGTTTTCCCCTCTTTATTTATCACTTGGGTGGGACCAGGAATTATGTTCCCTCCTTTGCCCTCAGCAACATACTTACTTCCTCTTAAAATTACATCACGTTCCACCTTCCGAGCTGTCACACCGGTTAATGGGGGGAGGGGGCTCAACTAGGGAAAAGTTACTTTAACCAAAACTCAAACACCCTTAAAAATAAAACGTATATAAATGTAATTTAAATATGTTAACATATTCAAATATATACATATATATGTAAATCCTCGGGAGACCCTGCCTAAAAATAAAAGTCTGGGAATGTACCTCAGTGTAAAGGCCCTAGGTTCAATCCCTAGTACAAGAAATAATAAATTGAAGATCTAAGATCTGGAGAAATCAGTAATGTTTTAAGCCCATGGTCTTAAAAGTTGTTCATAAAGATGTGTACTGAAGATGTTCTTTAGGAATTCAAGAAAAGGAGACCACTTCATGCTGTCCTCTGCCAGACACCTCAGAAAGCGGTGAAAAAGGAGGACCAGGGCATAGTGGCAAAGCGTGTAATCCCAGATACTCAAGAGGCTGAGGCACAAAGATCTCAGGTTTAAGGCTATCCTGGGCAAGTAGCAGGACCCTGGGGGTTGAGGGGTATGAACATCAAACTTCTTTGGTTTTGTTTTTTTGGGGGGATTTTTGGTTTGGTTTGGTTTGGTTTGGTTTTTGATACAGGGTCTCCTGGTGTGGTTCAGGCTGGCCTTGCACTCACAGTGTAGCCCAGGCTGACCTCAAACTTGCTGGGATCCTCCTGCCTCAACCTCCTAAGTGTTGGGATTTCAGGGATGCACTACCATGCCCGGCCCTTCCATGATTTTTGTTTATAGTTGCTTCAACACTTTGGTGAGAGAGAGAGAAAGCTAGATAGCAAAACCAATGAATATTTATTTAGTACCTAGGACATCCTTAATACCACGCTACTTGCTGAAGACATTCATAAGAAACTACATATACTTAATATACTTGGAGAAGGAGTCATAGTAGACTTCACACGAGAGATAACTTTGGAACCCGGCATGATGGCACAGGCCTGTCATGATAGCATTTCAGAAGGCTGAGGCAGGAGGATCATGGATTTGAAGCAAGCCTGGGGACACAGAGTTCAAGGCCAGCCTGAATTACATAGACCCTGTCCCGCCCCCCCCCCCAAAAGTGACTTTAGAAATACCTCGGTAGAAAAGTTAGGAATTGCTAAGTGGGCAGAGGAGGACAGGGGCATACCGGGTAAAGGGAGCAATTAGAAAAGAAAGAAAAGTCAAATCATTTAATGTTTACTTGGAGAAAGGTAACTTTGAAGTGACGACAACAAGGAGTGTTGTGGGGGAATGTGGTGGTAGGAATATGGCCAGGGTCTGTGTGAGGCAGATGAGGGTCTTCATCCCTGAGTGGTTGTGGTGCACCTGCCCCTACTGTTACTGTGCTAAGGTGGGGTGGCAGGAGTGTGTTACTGTCCACTGTGAATAAAATCCCTGACCCACAGGGAACTCAAAAAAGGGCAGAGGGAGGACAGATAGTAAATGCACAAACAGACAGACAAGGGAGTTAAGATTTTGCTAAGAGCTATGAACAAAATAAGCCAGATGAGGGAATTATGGGGGAGGTCAGCTACAGCTAAGGTGGTCAGGTAAGACTGGCTTTTCAGCGGAGCTGAGGCCTGAAGCTACTCTGATTTTTATTTTGTTTTTGTGAAAAGGAGAGCCAGGGAAAGTTTAACAGGTGTGTGATTACATTTGTATCATTGAGGGAAGTAGTCAGGCATGGTGGTGCCCACCTGTAATCCAAAGAAACTGAGGCAGGGAGATCGAGACTGCACTGTGAGTTGGAAGCTGGCCTGGACTACACACCAAGACCATATCTCCTCAGAAAAGCCAGACCGGGAATGGTGGCGCATGCCTGGGATCCCAGCACTCAGGAGGCTGAGCCAAGAGGTTCCCAGCAAGTTTAGGCCTGGGCTACAAAGCGAAACAGTCTCAAAACAAAGCTAGTTGACGTAGCCCTTGCTGGTGTTTCATGTGAGAGACGATGAAGCTTGAAATAAGGAAGCAAAGGGAATATGAAGGAAATTTAAGAGGTTCAGTCCTGTGTGTGAGGAACGGAGAAGACAAAGATGATTTCTGAGGGCCTAGGCTGGAGTGACAGTAAATGAAGTCCCCGTGAGTGGTTGAGCGTGAGCACAGGTTCTAATATGCACTGACTTGGGAGTGCAGTGGAACCTTAAGAAGTGGCTTCGGGGCCTTGGAATGCTGTATGCTTCGGGAGCCAGGCGAGAGACCTGGGCTGAAAATAGAGATTATGAACTCTGCAAGCGAGACTCATTTGTTGGACTCAGGTTTCAGCTCTGCAAGGCTTTACACACACCCACCAACTACTCCAACTCCGATTTCACACATGAGCAAGGACCAAGGTGTCCGCATATCACATGTAGGACCCAGTTAAAGATCAAACCTTTGCCAGAGAAAGTGCAGAGTGAGATAAGGCCACTTACCAGGGTTAAAATGAACCCTGCTGGGCTTCCTGGAGCCCTGGCCACTCCTCCCTCCAGCTGCTGCCTGGCTCCTCAGCCTTGGTCTCTCTGCAGCCCTAGCCCTGGACCTATCCCTTCTGCTGGCTGCTGAGAAGGGGGAAATGTGTTTGTTACTTATTTTTATTTATTTATATTGATTTTGCTACTGGGGATTGCTACATCCCCAGCTCCGCCCCCCTTTTTCTCAGATTTTGAGATAGAGTCTCACTAAGTTGCTAAACCGCCCAGGCTAGGTCGAAACTTGTGATCCTCCTGTCTCAGCCTCCCAGAGTGTTAAAGGCATGCACCACCATGCCTGGTTCTCCTGGTATCTTTATGTATCATTCAGATAGCATTGTACCCAGAACAATTTCACAAGGAATAGAATTCCAAGATTCATTCCCAGAGTTCACAGTGCATGGCAAACAAAACCAAATTCAGAAAAATACTTTGGGGGGGCCAGTGGCGCAGCTCAGTGGTAGAGCACGCGTCAAGTGTGAGGCTTGGGTTCAATCCCCAGTATGGAAAAATTCTGGAGGACCTGTTCCTGAGTGGGGAACTCCCTGGATTGGGTTTTGGGACTGTCACTGACTCCACGGGTTCTTGGGCCTTCTCTCAAAAGAATCAGAAGCACCTTGGCAGGCACAAGGCTTGGCTTGAAAACAAAGCAAAAAGCATGCAGAGAACAGAAATCCAGGGCTAACATTAACAAAGGACAGAGGTCCGCGGCCCTTAGGGTGTCTACAGGGCAGGGGGGCTGTCTCTTGATGTCCTCACACGCTCACAAGTTTTCACTGTGCTTGAACTCTTCTTTCTCTTGCCTCTTCGTGATATAGAACCCTGTCTTTTTTTGTCACACAATTCTCATTATTAGCTTTTTTTTTTTTTCTTCATTGCTGGGGATTAAACCCCAGGGCTTTCACTGAGCTACATCCCCAGCCTTTTTTTGTTTTAATGTTACTGTTTTTTGTTTTTGTAGTACTAGAGATTGAGCCCAGGGTCTCACACTGAGCTGCATCCCCAACCCTCTTTGATTTTTGATCTGGAGACAATGACTCACTAAATTGCCCAGGCTGGTCTTAAATTTGAGATCCTCTTGCCTTATCCTCCCCAGATCCTGGGATTATGGGGCCACTATGCCCTACTCATTACCATTTTGAACTCCACCTCAGGTTGTGATTTTTACTATGCTAATAAAGTAAAAGAAACTAAGGTGTGGTATTAGAAAAGAAAATAAAAAGTGGTAAAAAGTAAAAAGAAAGTGGTATTAGGAAAGAAGTAAAAGAAACTAAGGTGTGGTATTACAGGCTTATAGTCCTAGTAGTTGGGAGGCTGAGGCAGGAGGATCCAGAGTTTGAAGCCATAGTGGGACCCTGTCTCAAAACCAAAAAGGACTGAGTTCGATTCCCAGTACAAAAAAAGGAAAAAAAGAAAACTAAAGGTGACTGTAACTGTATAAACTATACTGTATAAAAGAAGAGGTATTCCGCAACCATTACTGTAGTGACTATAACTGTCTAAAAGTAAAGATAACTGTAGTGAGCACTGTGGCCATGCTTACCACCTGGGAAAGTTCCTAACTGGGCTTTGGAGCGGGCAGATGACTCCCTAGCTGAGTGGGTGTTTGATGATCTTGGCCTGTTGGCTCTGCCCTCTCCTATCTCTGCTGACCTCACAGTCTTTGAAGGCTGATGAGCTCCCATGCTCGCATCACGTGGTGAAGGCCGCAGCCTTGACAGCTGGTGCACCTTTTAACCCTCGGTTCCCTGGTGTTTGTCAACCCCATAGGTCTGAGTGCTGACCTCCTGCCTCGATGCCATTTACGAAGGAATAGTTGAAGGGCTGGGGATTTAGCTCAGTGGTGCCGCCGCCTGCCTCGCAAGTGCAAGATCCT